AAAGCCTTCAGCCACCATCATTTGTTTCTAAGACATTATGTAAATAAAGGTTGCCCTACTTACAACATTTTGCAAAGAAAAAAAAAGAAAACATTGCTTATCCTTTCCACCGCTGTCAAAATATAAAAGCAATGTATATTCATAAAATATAGATTAATGTCATTCCAAATTCTATGCATGATGAGATCTGTCTTCTCATCAGTCAGAATTTCAGACTCATGATGAAACGTGTGTGTGTGTGTGTGTGTGTGTGTGTGTGTGTGTGTGTGTGTGTTGAGGGGGTCAGCTCCACAAATGGCTCCCCCTTTTCTCAGCTTTAAAATAATAAATTAAATCATTATGACCCTTTCAATATAAGATATTTAATTTTCAATACCTTTTCATCCTTAAAGAGATTTAACATTTCCAATGTATTGACTCTGTCAGTCTATAATCATCATAAAGAGATAGTGGAAATGGATTAAAGTTTGCATTTTAAGAAGAATTTTTTTACAGTGCTCCATTTATATTTTTTCTGTACTGGAAAAAACAATAACAAAAAGAATTCACAGAAAAGGGTGCTGATTACATTCATTCAGCTTCAAAAAGAAAATTCCCTGTATACCATGGAAATGATTATCAAATAAAATTGTAGCTCTGTATAAAAGCACTAAAATTCCTCTGAAAACCAGCTTTGGGGAAATTAAATGGGCATAAATATGCATAAATAATTCAATACATTTTAAAGTCAGTCAGGCTACATTATCTAGTCACAATGGGATAAGATCTGCTTATGTTCTAAATTAAACTTTGCACACAATGTTTTCTAGGATTTCACAACTTTATTTAAACAAATAGTAATGTCTGCCAAATATATTCTTTGGGACAAATTCTAATACAATTCCAATACAATCATCATTTGTGTACACAGAATTCATTTATATATGAGATATATTCCTGAAGGCATATGTATAAACTAATATTTGGAAGCTGAATCGTATTGTGTACATTTTAGAAGATCTGGCTACTAAAGGAAAGAGATACTTTTGTAAACAGTCACTATTTTATAGATACAAAGTACAATTTCCAAATATGTAATGTACTTGATTATTTCATTTAAAATAATGTTGTTAATTCCAAACTCACTAATTTCATCAATATTTAATGAAACAATTAGCACTGGTAGAATTCCAACTGGTAGAATTCCATTCTCATGAACTTGAATGACTTTTGTAGCATTTGAACAACTGCTGCTTTATGGAAGAGGAAATATTAAGTTTAATGATCTGTGGTTGTCTTAAAATTCCTTTTCTTCCCAGGCTTCCTAATGACAATACTACTCAGTACTGAACTGGGTGCACTTAAAGTACTTTTTGTATTCCTTTCTCATCCAAGAGTCCAAATTTCTCATAAAATTTCCAATATCAAAACCAAAAAATTTAAGATTTAAAGGCACTAAAAGCACCCACCCCTTACTTTTTGTGGTGTGTGTGTGTGTGTGTGTGTGTGTGTGTGTGTGTGTGTGTGTGTATAAACATGTGTATGCAGTGCACTTGCCCGTGCAGAGGTCAGAGGCTGACACTGGGATTTCTTCCTCAATTGCTTCTTCATCTAATGTTTTGGTCAGTGTCTCTCACTGAACCTGGAGCTCACTGTTAGGCTAGACTGGCTAGCCACCAAGCTCTGGAGATCCAGTTGTCTCCACACCTCAGCACTGATGATCACAGATGCATAATGCCACATCTAGTTTACTTATGTGGGTGCTGGAGACCCAAACTTAGGTCCTGTACAAGCACTTTACTCACTGAGTTATCTTCCCAGCCCACAAAAGATATTTCTTACTGTGCTGGATAGCTTTAATTGTCAATTTGACTGGCTTGGGAAAAGGGAACATGAACTGAGGAATGGCCTCCATCAGGTTGGTCTATGGGCCAATCTGTGAAGCATTTTCTTGATTGTGGGTTGATGGAGGTCCCAGCCCACTGTGGACAGTCCCATCCCTGGGCAGATGGGCCTGGGAAGAAAGGCAGCTGAGCAAGCCAGGTGGAGCAAGTCAGTAAGCAGCATCCTCCATGGTCTCTGCTTCAGCTCCTGCCTCCGGGTTCCTGTTTCCAGGTTCTTGCCTTGATGTCCTTGGATAATGGGCTGTGAGCTGTAAGCCAAATAAACCCTTTCCTCCCCAAGTTGCTTTTGGTCATAGTGTTTATCACAGCAACAGAAAGAAAAGTAGGACATTATGTCTTCGTTTAGTGAATATGGTCATATATGGATGGAAACTAATGAAAGTAACTCTTCTGTTCTGGTTTGGCTATCCCTCTTTGCATTTCAATGTGACAAAAAATTTGAAACTCAGAATCATTGTTAATCATCCAGTGGAGAATAAAAGAGCCTTATTTGTCATATGCAGAAGTCATGAAGTTATTAATTAAAATAATACTTTACCCACTCAAAATCTAGAAAGTTAAATTCAACCTGAATAACGAATTCTGTTTGAATAGAAAATAATGTATGGCAGCAGATTTCTGATCTTATTTCAATGAATATTCATAACAAAAGCAGATAGCTTACATAATACAATTACTTGGGAAAACTATCTCTGGTCATGTAAGAGGTTTAGTGGGTTAAGATGAAAGTCCGGAACTGAGAATGGATACACTTAAGCAATAGGACGGGAGGGAGAGGGCTGTGAGGAAGAGGGCTGTGAGAACTTCGTCCAAGTACAACGACAGTAGAAAAATAAAGTACAGCCTTAGAAGAAATACCCAGAGAGCCTCTCACTTGTCACCATTAGTTGGTGTTCCATTAAGACAGAAAGATGGGTGTAACGTACAGCGCAGCCTACATTCCACCACATCACAAATTCATCCAAAGCACAAAAATACCCTTAAAAAATTGAGTCTCGTTCAAACTAGACTCAAACTCATGATCCTCCTGCCTCAGGATCATCAGTGCTGAGATTACAGGTGTGTTTCACCATGCCTCCCAACAAAAATGCCTTAAAGAAGCAACAAGTTTAAAAAGAAGTCCAAAACTCAAGGATGCCCTTATAAAACAGAAGGCAATTCTAGAAATTTAGAAATAGATTTACAGGCTATTTTGTTTATGAAGTAAATTTTACATTCTAGCAAATTCATAAAAACCAGATTTTAGCTTTATGTGCATAAAATACAGTGGGCAGAGAAAAGAAATAATAGCTAGAGGACTATGAAGCTGGTCTGTTATCACTGGACATGTTCATCACGTAAATCAAACTAAAACAATCTTCATTTATGGAGTCAGAGACTTCTACAGATTCCAGTGAAATACTTCAGGGCCTTAGAACAACCATGGATTCTGAAAGGAAGGCCTTCCCATCTTACTTTTTAGCAATGATTTTCCTTCATAGACAACACACATATAAAGAAAAAATTGTTACTGTACTGTTAGAATTAATCCAAGGATTTCATACATGTGGGGCAAGAAACATCATGATGATAAGGAATTATGAAATGTATTACAGCTGAAGTATAGAGGGAGTTCAGACTTCTAGTAAAGGGAAACACAACAACTAAGGTGCACGATGCAAATGTGTGGCATTTGAGGGCCAAAAGATGAGCAAAGGTAGGCACAAAGGAGAGAGACGTGAGAAAGAACAGGAAATGGCCAGATCTCAGATACTACTGTTTATCAGGAGGAAAATGTCAACTGTTGCACTGACATCACTGTCTATGGACAAACTAGGAATTACTCTCCAGCATTCCCAACGTTAATCATGCCTGTGATGGATAAATTAGGAACATCTTGCCTCTGCTGTCAGAAAAAACTATGGTGCTGATACTGTGGAGGAAACTGGATAGGTTAGTGAACTGGTTCCTATGAAATCAGGATCTGCAGAAGCCAGGCAGTTATTCTCTGCCTGAGACCAAAGATCATGGAGCACACGGCCTTTCTGCTGTGAAGGGGTAGTCAGCAGAGCTCTGTTTAGTTGCCTCACAGTGGCTTAAGATGGATATACAAGACATGGGAAAGGACTATAAAATATATAGATATAGATATAGATATTGCTGAAGAAAGGTAGTAGCAAGACAAAGAAATCTGAGGTTTGAGAACTTTTCACGCATTTATTGAACAGCAGGTACTGGAGAGACAGTGAGGGAAAAGTGAGAACAAGAATTCTCTTAAGAAGCATACTGAAGCTGGGCGTCATGGCACACGCCTTTAATCCCAGCAGAGACAAGTGGATCTCTGTGAGTTCAAGGCCAGCCTGGTCTACACAGCAAGTTCCAAGGCCAGCTGGGGTTACAGGGAAACCCTGTCTCAAAAAGACCAAAATAAAAATAAAAATAAATAATAAATAATATTTTTTAAAAAAGCAGCACAGTGAAAGCCACAATAATATGCAAAATGGAAGATATGAAAGAACAGAAAGGAGACGCTCAGAGAAGGGAGTCAGTTATGAGAAAATGAGAAAATGACTTACAAGATGAAGGACAACCGCATGTCAAATAAAGACATGAAACATGAAGGCAGAGAAGCTAAGCTCAGAATTCAGAAAGCCTATGCATTTAGTGATACATGAAGGAGAGTTATGGCATGGAAATTACATAATTTAAAATTAAGAGGATCCACTCAACCTGTAATTTAAAAAAATAAAAGAGGATCCACGTTCTTCTGGTTAAGGCATCATCAGATGAGAAGAAGAAACCGAGAGAGGAGCGCAGTGACCTGGAGCAGGCAGAGTCTCTTACTGTAACAGAGATCTGCCCCTCATTTGCTTTATCAACTACAGATGCCAATGAGATAATGGAGGAAAAGTCTTCTTGAATGAAGATGGTAAAGGGAGTACAACACTATTTTAAATTATCATCTAGTTTATGATATATACTGATTTTTTTTCATTTTAAGCTAGATAACATACAAATTTATTTAAAATGTAAACAAAGGTAAAATTATATCTTAAAGTTTTAGAAGTTATGTAAGACAAATCAAATTTATTTTTACATGGAACACAAATATATTTCTAATAATTGCTAAGAAATTACCTTGGACAAATCTCTGAAGTTGCTTGGTAAGGTAAGATCTAAGTCTTCTGATTCGTAATTAGTGATGACCCAGGGAAACACAGGATACTGATTTAAGTCGTTATAACCCCGTCCTAGTACGAAAAAAGTCATTTTTAGTTTAGAATTAAAAAATGAAAGATAACACAGTCGGTAGTATAATTTACTAAAAGGAACAAGAATAAGCACTGAAGTCTGAGTGCCAGGCACCGAGTGCTATTCAGGGGCTACCTCATTTGATCTTTGCAACAACATGGTGAAGTTACTATCATCTAAACTTTTTATGATGAAAACAGTGAGGCAGAAAAGGTTAAATGACTAACCCCAAATCATAGGACTAGTAAGCTCAAATCATATTCAAATTCAGGTATGTGGTCCGACAGCTTATGCTCTGTCAAATACACTTCGCTTCCTCATTCGTTGAAAGCATACTCACTCCACAGAAAATGCTCTTTTGGGGGTGTAGGTAAAGCTAGCAAATGAACCTAGGCCCTTGGGCATGCTAGCCACATATTCTGCCACCGAGCTACACTCTTAACCCCGAAAGACTCTTTTATAAGACTTTAAAAAAGAATTTATGGTTCAAATAGAAATGTGCAATTTTATAATAATTTTCTCTGACACTAGTTATTCAATTAACCAACTAATTAGCTAATCAACTGACAAAGCAAGGTTAAGTGATAAAGCATATGCATACTCACTAGCTATATATTAAAAAAATGAGAGTGCTACGCTAAGTAAACCTGAGATTTCTTTTTTTTTTTAAAAAATTTTTGGTCTTTTTTGTTATTTTGTCTTTTTTTTTTTTTTCCTTCAGAGCTGAGGACCGAACCCAAGGCCTTGCACTTGCTAGGCAAGCACTCTACCACTGAGCTAAATCCCCAACCCGAGATTTCTTTTCTTAAAAAATTTGAGAAAGAATTTTTATATTTCATTTATTATTTTTATTTTATGTGTACGAGTGTATTGCCTGCATGTGAGTGCACCTGTGTTGTGCAATGCTGTGGAGTCAGAAGAGGGCTTCAGATTCCCCTGGAACTGGAGTTAAGGGCAGTTCGTAGCCGCCATGTGGGTGCTGGGAATCAAACCTGGGTCCTCTGCAAGAGCTGTCAATGCTCTTAACCACTGAGCCATCTCTCCAGCCCCCCCCAAATTTTAAATTATTTTTATTTTATGCATATGAGTGTATTTCTTGCATGTATGAAAGTGCACCTGTGTTGTGCAATATCCATGGAGGTCAGAAGAGGGCATTGGGTTCCCCTGGAATGGGAGTTATAGATGGCTGTTAGCCGCTTTGTGGGTGCTGAGACTAGAACCCGGGTCCTCTGTAAGAGCAGTCAGTGCTCTTAACTACTGAACCATCTCTCCAGCCCCAACCCTGAGATTTCTATAGCAACATTCAGTGTGTGAACCTCTGAAAATCATATAAAACATTATCAATCTTGCTCCTCCCCACCCCCAAAGGGGCTCTTCCAGAATTCCTAAACCCAGTGACATACTGAAAGTAATTAAAAATTACATTCTAAAGATGAGGCAGCCCTTGTACTGTGCACAGCAGTCTTCTGGGTGTCACCATTTCAGGGAAGTGGCAGAGAGCATGAGATCATTGCTTCTGCAGTCAAGAAACAGGCATGCGGTTCTAGATCCACTATTTACTATTGACAGTCTATCTCTGATAAAACAATGTGAATAGATTTTATAGCTGAAGTACAAGGGACTAGTAATATTGTTTGAATTCCTTTCTTATTGGATATCTCTATTTTTCTTTTTAAAAGATATGCTGATATCATATCACAGCTGCATACTAAAGTAGTTCTCTATGCAGACTCTTGGTATCTAAACCTTTTTAAAAATCATTTTAGCTAACTCCAAGATGACTCCACCTTCACCGATAAAATTTAGAATGTTCAACATTGTAATTTTTCATAATACTCTTGTTTTCTTAATATCTCAAACAGGGCTTTTTCTTTCTGACAGTAATTTCTTCCCTGAGTTCCTGAACCTCTCTGCCTCATAACTTGAATTCATTGTTCTTACACGCTCATGTTTTCTCTCTCCTGCCTTAACCCATCCTCCCTCTTCTATCACAGTTAAGAAAACTACTCTCTACCTAAAGTTCCCACTTCTGGCCATTCCATACCTATGATCAATCTTTTCTGCTTTGAAAATGAATCCTCATGAAATAACCAGTAAGTCCCCAAGTGCCAAATCCAAAGGTATGTTTGTATTCATTCTTAATTCTCCCTTACTTTTTCAGTAACATTTGACACAGATGAAAAAATGCCTTCTTCTCGCTCCACTGGACATCTGATTACCCTTTTCTCTTCTTCCTCCTCCATCTGTTAACTCAGCATCACTCTGCTCTCTTTACTTCTTTTCTTTCTCATACACAAGTGTTCTCGAACCTGGCCTCATTGATTTCCACATCATCTGCCCTGATCATATTATCTCTCACTTGGCAATTTTCTTTCTGCCAATAAAATCCAAAGTCCTGTTTCTAGGCTGTGAACATGCTCTGGCTCCTTCAGCCAAACATTCTCTGACATTCAACATGGATGTCTTTCCAGGACAGTATGATAATCATCCTGCCCTAGATTTCTGCTGGTGGCAACATCATTCTCCCAGTAATAGAGGCCAGAAGCCAGTAAGTTTCTTTGCATTTACCCCCACCCACAATCAGTTGCATGTGAAATGGCTGGTGCTTACAGATTCCTGTGGTATCAGATCTTTTCAATGGCTACTGTCATTTCTCCAGTGTAGGCCTTCATTATTTTTATACGCAATGGCTCCTAACTTTGTTCTCTGCCTAGTCTCTCTCTACTCCAAGTGACTACCTCACCTACAACCTCCAAATTAATTTTCCATATAGTTCTACTATCATTTATGTTCTCAAAAACCTTTACAACCTTCCCAGTGAACTGAATGCCAACTGGTCAAGTTGAAGACAAGTTTCCCACAATAGCTCCACATAAATTTTTTTCTCTCATTGTATCTATATAATTAACACACATCATGCATACACATGTGAGTACATAAATTATAACATTATTTTCCCCACTATACTTTGTGTTTTCCCATTTTTGTATGCTTTTGGACTTATACAGAATAACTACAACCACTCAACTACCTCCTCTGCCAAAATAATACTCTGAAATAATACCACTGAAATGTGTATTTTCTCCTTGTTTCCAATCATTGGATAAATATAACTTCCATTCCTACTTGCCTTTTTAATTATATTACTTTGTAATTTTTAAAAATTTTATTATTTTTATTTTATGTGTATGCATGTATTGCCTGCCTGTAGGTAAGTGCACCCGTGTCATGCGATGCCAGTGGAGGTCAGAAGAGGCTGTCGGATCCCCTGGGACTGGAGTTACGGACAGTTTTTAGCTGCCATGTGGGTGGGTCTTCTGCAAGAACCACCAATATTATTAACTACTGAGCCATCTCTCCAGCCCCTACTTTGTCATTTTTTTATTGAATCTATATTTCTTTGTTCCCAGAAACATAGTTTGAGCATCTCTAATCCCAAAACCCAAAATCCAAAACTATCAAGCATTAATTTCAGACCTCAGAACATTCTGGATTCTGAATGTTTGAATTAGGGTTAGTCACCTGAGAGTCTATGCCCATATTCCAAATCTGAAAAACTCTGAAAAACCCTGGAATCTGAAATATTTCTTGTCCCAAGCATTTCAAATAAAGGAAACTCAAATTGTACTCATATTGGTAAGCAAAGTAACTTCTCTGAGAGTAAGAAAAATACCTTACTCTTTGTATATGTTCTGTGCCTCAAACACACTCTGTGTCATTTGGTGAAAAAGAATCACAAATGCTACACAGATATGCTCTGTGTTTTCTTACTCTAGTCAGCACAAAAGAAAAGTAAAACATATTCCTATTCACTATTCTCTTTCAAAGGAGCTGTTCCAATGGGTAATTTTCAATATTACATGCTCAATGATTACACATCTTGTAAAGGGCTATTTAGAGATACGGATACTAATATTTCCTTTTATCTAGTATTTTGTCCACAGTTTTATTTTTTCCACATCATGCTTCATTGTTTCATCATATATTTCTAACCTATTAATAAGTTCTTAAAATTCTATGTTGTTCTTCTTTCCTACTGTCCCACAATAAGCCTGTTATTACTAGAGTAAATAACTGAAAATTATCATTTTGTCTTTTTTGGGTAAATAGTTCATTTATTTTTAATTTTTAAATAGCCAATTGTTTATATGCAAAGCTGCAAACTCTGTTATCAATCTGCTTTTATGAGGGATTCTTATAGTAATGAAATAAAATAGTAGTAAAAATAAGCTACTTACACTCAAAAAATAACCTAAGTACATCATAAGGAACAATTTATTATTTGAAATAAGTTACCTGCTATTGTGTTGAGAAACATCAAGTATTCAAAGTTTGAGATCTCTCTGTGTTGCCACCTCTGAGTCATATTTGAAGCTTTAAAAAGTTGACGTGGGGTAGCTAAGGAAATACGCCTGCAAGAATGAGAATTTGAGATAAAACCAGCTTAAAATTAATTACATTACAATAGTAAGTCATGAATTATCTGTGCTTACTCAATATTCTTAATGAAATCTATAATTGTGAAAATTAGTATTCATGTCACACTAATAAATATTAATGATGTTTCATCTACAATAAATGGTTACCAAATGATTTGGCTACAAGTCCAATATGCATGTTCTATTCCTTCAGGTAAGCTGTCATTATAATGCCATGGTAATATTCAGGTTCCATTTATGTCGATTAAAACAGTTTGATTAATGACTCTGCAATACACATAAAAATTGTATTCACATGTTTACCGATTTAAAAAGTCATTGCTTAACGATTAAACATATGTACATTATAAATTTAAATATTACAGATTATTATTACAGAATATTAAAGATTCTGTAAAAAGACAAAGACAGTTCAAAGCAATTTATAGGGTGGGATGAAGTCAAAAAACTATAGAGTTTTAAAAAATATTTTTAACATACATGTTTGTGAGCATGTTAAGTATATGTGCATCACATGTGTGCCACACCCACAGGGGCCAGAGCAGTGTGTCAGATCCCCTAGAAGTAGAGCTACAGGCAGTTATCAGCCACAATGTGGGTGCTGGGAACTGAATTCTGGTCCTCTTCAAAGGCAGTAAGTGCTCTTAACTGTTGAGTCGTCTCTCTCCAGCCACACAAGATTTTTTTTTAAAGGTTTTCAAGAATTTCATATATGAGTAAATATTTACATCATTTTCACGGCTCCCCAACCCCTTCCACTCCTCCCATGTTCCTTCCTACTCCCTCTCAATTTCCCAGTCTCTTTCAAAATTAGTATTGTAAAGCCAGGTTCTGGGACTAAACACGCCTTTAGTCCCAGCACCTGGGAGGCAGAGGCAGACAGATCTTTGTGAGTTCAAAGCCAGCCTGGTCTACAAAGTGAGTTTGTCAAAAGACAAAAAATAAAAATAAAAATATTAAAAAATTACTATTGTAATACACACACACACACACACACACACACGTATGTATAAGCAACCTATTGAGTCCATTTAGTGGTGCTAGCAGGTACATGTGTTACAGTTCATTAGAAGAACAAGTCAGTGAAATGTAAATATTTTGACACGATTGGCCAATATGAGAAGCAGTGTTAAACAGGTGAAGACTAATTATAATGTTCCAAGGCTAGAGTCTCAGGTTTGTGCTGTCACAGCTCTTCCCACTACCGTGAACAGAGCATTTCTTTATATACAATTTGGTAATTTTCACTGATTTTTGATGAAAATTTATATGTTTTATAAAAGATTTATTCTTATTTCATGTGTATGGGTGTTTGCCTACAAGTTATAAGTGTACCACATGCATGCTTGGTGACCTCAAAGGTTAAAAGAGGCTATCAGGTCCTATGGAACAGAAGTCACAAATAGTTGTGAACTACCATGTGGGTGCCAGGAACTGAATCCAAGTCGTTTGCAAGAGCAGCAAGTTGTCTAAATCAATGAACCATCTCCAATCCAGAGTTGTGAAATTTTAGCACAGTCCATTTTATAATAGTTTCTTCACAAAAAGTACCTTATCTGCATTTTGTGGCAGGGCTGGGGGCAGGATCTCCCTAATGGCCAGTTGACCTGGAATTCACTATGTAAAATAGGCTGGCCTCAAACTCACAGAGACCTTCCTGTCTCTGCCTTCTGGAACCAAGTTGTGTATCACCACACCTGGCTTTCCTCTGTATTTAATAATAAATTTCCTTTCTAACCCCACCTCAAATCAACTGCCATCCTACTTTCTGTCCCTGCAAACACGCCTTTTTTCTAGGCATGTGGTGGCTAGTTTTTGTCAACTTGACACAAACCAGAGTCACCTGTGAAGAAGGAACCTCAAATGAAGAATTTTTTTTCCATCAGACCGGCCTATGGGGCACGCCTGTAAGGGATTTTCTTAATTGTTAACTGATGTTGGGGGGCCAGCCCGCTGTGTGTGGTGTCCTTCCTGGGCAGGTGGGCCCGGATACATAAGAAAGGTAACTGAGCAACCAGTATTTCTGCATGGTCTCTGTCTCAGTTTCTCCTTCCAGGTTCCTTCCTTGGTTTTCCTCAATGACGGACTGTGAGCTGAAAGCCACATAAATTCTTTCTTCCCCATGTTTCTTCTGTTCAGTGTCATTTATCACAGCAACAGAAACCAAACTAGAACATTTTTTAAAGAATTATACACTATATTAAAGTTTGTATCAGGCTTCTTTTCTGAACCATAAGGAAAGGCTGGGCGGCCTGGAGCTTACTATGTAGACCAGGTTGGCCTCAAACTCACAGAGATCCATTCTCCTGATTCTACCTTCTGAGTGCTGAAACTAAAAGCACGCCCAGCTAAGTAGTGTTCCATTGTATGAATTTAGAATATATCACATTTCATATAATTAATGAACATTGAAATTACTTCCAGTTTAGGGCTATTGTGAATAAATACTATTATAAACATTCACACAAATATCTTTGAATGAACATATATTTCCATTACTTTGAGGCAGATTCTTGGAATTGCTGCATTGTATACTTCATTTCTCTTCAATTTTTTTTATCATATTACCAAATTCTTTCTCAAAGTATTAGTACTACTGTACATCCCAACAAGGAATTTGAATGGATTTCCACATCCTTGCCAACAACTGCTACTGTGTGTACTTTTATTAGAGTTGGTGTAAAATCACATCTTAGAGTTCAATCTCCATTGCTGGCATCTTCTGGTGATTATCAGTCACTTGCTAACTTGGCTTGGGTCACATGCTGGTGAAAGTTTGGTCTTTAGATGATTTTTATCAGTTTGTAAAAACTTCTATTTCTAGTCAATTGAGAGCTTTCATTACAAATGTATGCCAGATTTTGTCAAATGTTTTTGTCTACCAAGACAGTCAAGTGTTTTTTTGTTTAGTAAGCAATATGTATTTATTTCAAGACTTAAACCAATCTGCAGCTCTGTGGTATAAAACCGAACTCACCATCTGATAATCATTTATCTATATTGCTGAATTTGGTTTGGTAAATTGTGCCTGGGATTTTGGGCCTACATGTACAAGAGACATTGACCTGTAATTGCTGTTTTCTGTTTCTGGTATTGAGGTGATATGGCTTACAGAGTGAGTTAGGTGCTTTATCCTCTTCTGTATTTTGGAGTTTGTGAAGGACTGATATCATTCTACTTCAAACATTTGCTAGGATTCACTAATAGAGTCTTCAAGGCCTGGGCTTTTTTAATGGGCAAAATGTTAAATTAATAGTTCAGTTTCTTTACTTGTTATGAGTCCATTCTGGTTTTTAAGTTCTTATGCAGTCAGGTTTGGTAATTTCTGTTTTTCCACAAATTTTTAATATTATCCAAGTTGTCTTATTTGTTGGCATACATTCGCTCATAACAATCATTTCCAACCCTTCAGTTCCAATATGGTCAGTAGGGACATCAGTACTTCCACTTCTGATTTGGGTCTTTTATGTCATCTGCTTGGTTTTCATGGTTGGTTGAAGTCTGTAAGCTGACTAGCAAAAGAAGTTAGTCTTCCTTCCTGTTTGCTGCTTTACTGTTTTGTTTCATGCATTTCTGTAATAATCTTATTATTCATGTTTTCCTACTTGCTTTGCATTTCACACTGTTCAATTTTCTAAGGATAGAATCTTGAGTAACTGAGGAGAGACATTTCTGCATCAGATGCAGATGTTTAAAGCTATAAAATTTCCCGATTACTTTAGTCAAATCTCCTAAGTAGTAATATGTTTATGGTTTTGATGTAGAAACTGCAAATCCCTACAATTCTCAGTACACGAGAAGAGAAGTTGCTAGGCACAAGAATGGGCAAAAGCCCCAGAACTGCATGGCAGAGCATGATATCACCACAAAAACAGGCACTCCCAGACCTAAATAACTCTCTAAGGGCTGGGACCCATGTAGGTGAGCAAAATTTCCCTCCCTCCCCGCACTTCTCTACATGCCTCACTGAAGGCAGCTGTTATAACCCCCAATAACAGGCCTCGAACTCCTTGGTTAGTTCTCTCGAAGGGGGTAAAAAGCAACTTAAATTCAATGATGAGGCTGTGCAAAACCTACTATGAGTGGGAATGCAAATGATACCAGGAGTGGAAACTTTGGGTATATTCAAGAACTTGAAATAATTAGTGAGCCCACCAACTGGTCAGCCCACAATGAAAGATGCACTCCTCCAGTTCCTAAGCGATGAGAGATGCTGTGTACCAAAAACAGAAAACATCAGTGGAAGAAACTGAACAAGATATAAGTGAAAAGCTATTTCACATTCACAGATAGCTTAAGTGTCCTTTTTCTTTTGTCTAGGTTAGGGTCTTAACTTTAAAAAAAAAATCAACTCTTACTTTCACTGATCATTCCCTCATTTTTCAAGTTTCTGTTTCATTTATTTCTGTTTTGGTCCTTACTATTTCCTTCATTCTACTAACTTTGGGCTTAGCTTGTTCTAAAAACAAAAATTAGTAGCTTGACAAAAACACTGAAGGACTATGAAGTAAAAACAGATAACAACACTGTTGTTCCAAATTATCCCAATTGTATTGATAAAAAGGTTTAGGAATAAAACAATTTCCAATGTGACAAAACAGTACTCATTTTATATAGTAGAATTAAGGATGATATTATAAAGTAATTAGTACACTATAGCATAAAGGATATGAATCCTAAGTGATTCAAATTGAAGATTTAAAAAATAAACACAATGGACGGCCATAATCTCAGGCAAGAAATATAAAAAGCATGCCATTAGCCTTTGTATGACTCCACTCATGAACTACCCCTCTGCAAAAATAACTTCGTACCCTGACCCTAGCGTTACAGACTACTTTTACCTGTTCCTGGGTATTACATGAGCAGAGGAGATTTACTCTTGCTTCCTTCACTAAATCATCGTTGTGCTATGTGACAACAAATCACTCATTTTTCACTGTTGTATATTCTATCGGTAATATGAATATAGCACAGTTTGAGTTTTTGTTGCTATTGATTGACTTGGGGTGTTTAGCCTCTTACAAACATTCTTGTATTTGCTGTGTGGTAAGGATGTGCATGAGTTTTACTGAACCTATTTCCAGGAATAACACATTCTAATTGTCGGCATGTAGGATGATGTGCAGATGTTTTATTTTGTTTCCAAAGAGTCTCTACAGTGGCTATTCTAATTTATATTCCTGAGAGGCAGCATTCTAATCATCCTACCTCTGATCTAATGTTGGCTATTATTTCCCTTTATATTTTTTGCTATTTTGATGAGAACGTAATAGCATCACATTGAAATACATGCATTTCTTCCCAAAGGCAAAAGTAAAAAGCATAAATGAGCCTTTCTAATTTAAGTGTGTGTGTGCAAATGCAGCTGGGAAGAGTTAGAGAATCTTTATCTTAAGTGGAATTTGTAAAGCATATGCTCTAAGGGATATTACACTTTATATATTATGATTCAGTTGGCTCAAAATAAAACAGAACACTAGTCATAATCATTTACTCTGGTGACACATTTCAAAATAAATAAGAATATTAGTACATACTAATTCATGAGAATATTGATGTAGAATATTTCCATATTTTTCTCATATAAAATAGTACCTGGTTTGAGGTAAGCCAAAACTGGTTCCAACACCAACACGAGGTAGATAGTTAACCACCTTCTTCATTGTTGCAGTATCTGGGAAGTTGAACATTACAGCAACTACAACAAATAATTTTTTTAGAAATTAGAATACAACATGACATCCTTTTTGGAAAATTGATTCTTGATCCAATAGAATATTCACTTGTTTCAATATCTGCTAAATGCAATTGATACTATATCATTGTTCTTATAGTACAGTAGTTATAGCATTAATCTTCTACAGGTGGTGTTTGTTTAATTCATGAACTTGTCACCTTAGATAGAACTCCTGATGGTTCTTACAGAAGACAGTGCAGTGTGAAGCTGAGACTATCTCATGACAACTGTGAATTTACAAACTGAATTGCACAACTCAAATATATCTTCATGAATTTCTAGAAGAATTATTTAAATTCAAGCTCATATAGTTACCCATGTGACATTAAAAGCAAGAAACATACCTGTAAATAATCAGTTGTATCTATTTCCACTAATGAAACATTTTAAAGCAATATCCTTTATAATATTTCTATGTTGATATACTTCATGTGTTCATATAACCCAGAATATCTGTCCCCTAAATGGAAATTTTTCCTTTATGACTAATAGATAAATTTAAGTGTTTTCTAGTCATTTCTATTTTAATAATTATACGTGTATGAGACTATCAAGAAGCATTTAGTAGCATAAAACCATTCACTATGTTCATCTATGACAGTCATACATAGATCTTACTTACCTTAAAAAAGATAACAGTAACATCATAAAATAATGACTGAATTTAGAAGGAATTAATTTGTTTACCCTTGAAATTGTAACTATATTAACATCAGTATCAGAATCACACGTAGGTTACACATTTGTCTACAAGGTGGTCCTCCTCTGTCTATCCAGGAAAAAGATAAAGTGAAAAAAATTGAAAATTAACTGTTCTTATAGCTTGTAAAGAATGGCATTATTAAACGTGTTTTAAGTAAGTCACCGATATATCATGAAGCTCGTACAAAGTATTTTGCAATGCTATGGACATTAATACTTAAATAAGACTTCCTTATACATCCACTATTATGTTGAATATGGGGTGGAGAGATGAAAGAAGAAACCACTGTAGGCTATGTCAAATGACCTAGGTAATAATGGGGCAACAGAAAACACACAGAAGGAAGCATGCCTAAGAAATTTCCAAGGAGAGTACATGTGGATGAGCAAGTGCTAATGGCTATAAGGTTGGCACTCCTTCAGGACAAGAATGCAGACTAGACTAAAGTGTGAAACAGTTGTGGATTTAGAAGACTAATATTTACCTGGGAAAAAAGTGTCCGGATTCAGCGAGGATCCCATATAAGAAATGAAAAAGCATGTTTCCCTAAATATATTTTTATTCCCTGAAAAATGCATGATGCCATGCAGGGAGGGAAGATGTATGCATAGAATGTATATTCTTATGTGTAGATTTTAGTCACAGAGATTATGGAGCAAACAAATAAGAAACCATCAGCCTAAGTATATAAGAAGCAGGTATAACAAATCTTAATGAACGTCACCAAACTCCATTCGAAACCCACAAACAGAATTTTAGTTCAGCTTTCAAGAAAGATGTGATGCAAAGAATAGACAATTTAGTGCCATTTTCTGATTTTTTAAATAAATAGCAATAGGTTGGACAAAAGATAAAATAAATATATGAATCATTTGATTATCTTTTCTTGTCCTCAAATGTAGATACTTATCAGAAGTAACCAGAACAATGCTGAGGACATCGAAACTCCACAAATGATTAAACAACTAAATGGATATTTATTCCTCATATTTATAAATCCTTGCACCAATCTGTGAAATGATCAGGAAAATAAAGGAGCTACAGAAGATTCTAAAAATGATGGTGGGTGAAGCATAAAATTCACATGTGGATGGTGTGGTGTAAGAGATGAGCTCAACAAGGCAGTGGGGGAAGTATAAGATCCAATCTAAATGGAAAAAAGGCGTTTCAAAATTGGTATCCCAAAGAGGGGAAACTTAGCTTTGCAACAACGTAGTTCTGCAACATATTACCTCTGTTTGCCATAAAGATCTCCAGGGCTGTATTTTGCAAAAGATAACGGCGGGAAAAGATTGATCGTATCTCTGTGAACAGCCATTTTCCATGTAGACCTTCAGTATATGTCAGGATCTAGGGAGGAAAAAGAAAACCCCAATTAAGTCACAATATTAGATCTTTTTAGTGTTGTCTCCCTCCAATTAAAAAAGAAGAGACTACTAAGAAAAACAATTTCTAAGAAAGAGATTTTAATAAACATTAAAACAATTCATCTGTAAACCTAAAAATGTACAGCCAATTTTGAAAGAGATGTACCCTAGCTCAGAAAAATGTTATTGAATAGGTTAATGCTGTTGTAATGAAATGCTTCTTCTAATTGAAAAAAAAAAATATTTTATTGAAAAAAAATGTAGGAAACAACATATCTTAAAATGAAGTGGAGATCTTCTTTAAAGGGTAAAAACTCATCCAATTTTATGTCCTACAGGGCTTTTACTGAGTTCATTATTGTATGACTGTATTAATTCAACTGTGAACCTAAAAATTTACAGCCACCTTTGAAAGAGATG